TGCAAATAGTTGTGAATAAAATTTTGATTATACTTTGTTGTCAGTGACTGTATATCGGTCAATCTGTGAGGTTTCTACATGAAATATCCAATAGCGATGATATGATTTCTAAGTGCCGTTTCGGCCATTTTTAATATGTCATGATCTGTAATTTTTTCCATTGGATTCAGTAATGTTTACAATTTCATCGTGGAAAAATATACATAAGAACAACGTTTACAAATTATTAAATTTTATTATCGAAATAATCGTTCTCCAATTGCAACTTTTCGTGCGCTTTTGCCATTTAATGGTCGTAATAATCGTCCACCTGTACTCGCTATTCCTCGAATTGTTTAAAATTTCGTGCGTACACTTTCTTAACACAATGTTCAAGTGCCAATAAGACAAAGAACGGCTCAAAGTAATGAAAATATTGCCAAATATTTGCGCAATTTGTCGATTCTAAGGCGTTCTCAAGAATTGATACTGTCTCAAACATTACATTCACCTAAATTGATAGTTTGATGTGGTTTTTGGTTTGGTGGAATCATCGGTCCGTACTTCCTTCGAAATGTAGCTGGTGACAGCGTTACTGTAAATGAAGAGCGGTATACATCGATGATCACCAACTTTTTATGGCCGCAATTGTAAGAAGTTGAACTTTACAACATCTGGTTCCAACAAGACGAGGTTACGTGCCACACAGCACGTGCAACAAAAGAATTATTGCGAGAAAAGTTTGAAGTTCGATAATTTCAAGAAATTGTGACACTGAATGACCTCCAAGAAGTTGTGAGTTAACACCATTAGGCTACTTCTTGTGGGGTTATTTGAAGTCATTGGTCTTTAGCAATAAACCAGACTCTCTTCAAGCTTGAGAAGTCAATATTGAACATGTGGCAAAAGTACTGGAAAATTGGGTTCATCGAATTCGTTCCTCCAAAAGAAGTCGTGGAGGCCATTTGAATAATGTTATATTTAGAATTTAATTGTACTTCACATTAAATAAAAAATATTTGATTTTCCTTAACAATTATTATTATTTTTTAAATAATATAATTCTTATTGGAAAACCCTGTACATACAACATTTTTTCCTTGTAATAATATGTCTTGTGCCTAAATGGATAAAATCGGGTCAGTACTACCCTAAGCTGCCATTATATGCAAGTATATATATAGGTATTTATTACAAAATGTATTTCAAACTTCTGGTTGGCTTTTTACCGTATGTATAGGTGAATATGTGAGGTATATTAGCAGAATTAAGTGAACGTATATTACTGGATATACAATAGTTTAATGCCGAAAATGTGTGAAATCTGTCCACGAAATACTCCAGCTCCAATATACTGCATATAATGTAAATTTTCTTGTTAGGTTAGCAGATTTTGTGCCCAATGCGTCGGTCAAGGTATGTGAATTGTCGTCACGAAATTGCGCGAATCAATTTGTTCTCGAGTGTAATTGAGTAATGTCAAACATTATTGCAATCAGTCTAGATCTTATCCAGTTTGACTTTCCATCTTACTTTAAGTTTAGGTCAAAATGTGTGATATTTTAATGAAATTAAAATAGACGCCTTCTTAAAAAGTATGATTCAACGCATAATATGATGGGAACTGGTTGGAACCGTTAGCGAAGTCCCTTACCTTAATAAATTGATTTTCGTTTCTCTGGTTGACTTTTTCCTCATATACTTAATATATTATCTCATTAATTAGTTTGATTTTAATATAAAGATTTCGAACAAACAAAATGTAATAATGAAACTAGGTAAGTATATGACAAATGATACAATATAAGTTAATAATATACCAACTTTGATAGTTATTTACCACCAACACTTTGCAATATAAAGTTTTGCAACACCTGTCAATGGCAACCGTTATCGCGCCATGATAAACGACTATTTTATGCTTGAAATTGAAGCTCGTCGCATCAATGAAAAGATTTATTGAGAGCAGATAATTTCACGTTTTGGGCCGGCCGTTAGACTTTTTCCTGTGGGAATATGTAAAGTCTCAAGTCTATGCGGACAATCCCGCTTCGGTTCAGGTTTTGGAGCAAAACATCACGCGTGTCATTCGCCAGTTACCAGTCGAAATGTTCGAACAAGATAACGAAGAGATAATCTTCAATAAATAAGAAAATAAATGCCAAAGAATGCTCTTACGAATGATAATAAACATATTCCATTAAATTTGAATTTTCTTTATAAAGTAGAGAACTTCGAAATGGATCACCCTATACATACATGTGTACTTTGAAAGCTTTTATTTTACAGAAGGTAGTTGATTTCTTGGAGTGCGTTAGACTGAAAAATGCAACGGTCCGTGACTTCATGACAGGGTTGCAAATACTAAATTAAACAAATAATTGAATTAGAATTTAAATCACACATACTGGATTGAAAAAAATTTTCAAGCCCACAAACCAAATTTTATTTTGAATTTTTAACCCCAACTACAGCATTGAAAAGAAGAAGGAAAAACGTTTGTGAACTTCATTCAAATTTAAAAAATTAATTTTTTATTTCCAATTCTTAACCTTAAACTAGTGACGTGTAGCCTCACAGGCGTCGCGTGTTTTACAAATTCACAAAATTGACCACTTCCCGCATTTGCCCAACCCCGCGTCTCAGTAGCTTTTGTTTTAGTACTTAAACGACCGCGGATCAGTGTTGCCAACTTGGTTTTTATTTTACCACTAAAATTAGTGGTTTTACTTTTCCCCTAGTGGGCAAAAAAAATTTTTTAGTGGTTAGTGGTTTTTTTAGTGATAAATAAACCCGCCAACTTTCAATACAGAAAATTAAATATATAATAGTAAATATAATATACATATAGTGCTTTCTCTCTCTCTAAGGTATTCTAGCTTCTTTTCAAATTTTCTCTACTATACAGTCTATACAAGTATACACTCAGTTGTTTACTATATATTATAATATATAACAGATAACTGATTTAATAGAATATTTTAATTAAGTAAAAAGCGTAATAAGATGGATCTCAAGAAAATCAGCTAGAAGATACTGTCGAAGATGCTTCAGATGAAGATAATATAATATATTAGTCACTAATCAAAAAAGTGATAATTGAAAATATTTGAATCTTTGTTATTAGTTTAATAGCTTAAAATAATATTTAATATTTTAATATCGACATTTTTTTATCATTTATATTTTTAAAAAGGTTTTTAATTAAAAATAATTATTTATTTAAAATAGTTTTAACATTATTGCTTTCCTTTCCTTCTTATTTTATATATCTGAATTATTTAGCGTAGCTTGGAGAGAGCGCTAGTGGTCTTTAAGTGGTTTTAGAGTCGACACGACATGTCCCTAGTTTTCATACAAATATTTTTTTCATTTTAATGCAAAATGGCTGAAAACGCCAAGAAACGTTAACTATAGCCCACGAGTTCATTAAAGAAAAAAATATTACGAGTAGACAGTCCATCATTTGAAGAGAAATGCTATTGACGAGTTGTTAGTTTCCGATGATCTATTACAGTTTCGTGACCAAGATGAAGATTTAGAGGAGAATATTCCAGAAGTGGATAGCAGCAATGAGAGGAGTGCTGATAGTTCTGATGAAGGTAGCATCGACAGTTTTGATAATGCCACGCCTTTACGGAATTACGGAGGTCGAATTTTTATTACGGGAAAATGGTCTAAGGCTCCTCCTAATGCTAGGGTTCGCACACTTCAACATAATATCATATCTCATGGTTGTGCCTCGACATTGACAGACGCGGATGCTAAAGACCCTATAAGCATTTACCATAAATTATTTGACAAAGAAATGCTTCAACAAATATTGACTTGAGAAATTGACAAACCAAAAAATTTCTCCTTATATAGAATAAATTTGCTCGTCAGAATAATTTACGAACGTACAAGTTACTTATTTGCTAGGGATGGCACAGGGTGTGAAATATTTAAATGCGGCATGTTAGAAAAAAGATTTGTTATCTTGTTACTGTGTTTGCGTTTCGATAATCCAGACGATCGGCAATGAAAGGCAAACCGATGATAAATTGGCAGCTTTACCCTTTATTTTCAAACAAGTTCGTCAACAATTCTCAACAGCTATACGAATTGAGTGAATGCGTCACCATAAATGTTAGTGAAATTTTGAGAAAGAAGTCACATGATTTCTTAAGCGAAATGCCAAGCGAATTTTTGCCCAAAAAAATAGAGATATCCAGTCAACTTTGTTTGGATTTACAAATCAAAAAACTATACAAGTATGCTCATATGTGCCTAAGAAGAATAGAGCTGTGATACTTGTGTCCGATTCTAAAAAGCCAGAAATTATTCTGAATTATAACACAACAAAAGGAGACGTTGATGAAGCGGGAAAAAAGCTCCATTTTTTCCAGCAGGCGCCGAACAAGAAGGTGGGCAATGGTGGTATTCTACCGCATTGTGGACTTGAGCGGCATATCTGCCTATATATTATACAATATGCATCAGCCTAAGATTATAGACAGATTACATTACATTTTTTAAAGTCGTTAACCCGTTTGCTACTGCTACCCCAAATGCAAAGAGGTGTTGTGTGCAGTCAATTATCAAGGGCGCTACGGGTAGTGATAAAGCGAGTACTGGGTGAAGATATGGTTGAAGAAGATATCCAAAGTCCTGAAACTAGTCAGGGAAAGCGAAGGGCATGCAGTATTTGTCTGCCCAAACTGCACAGAATGACAGTGTACACATGTGTCGGGAATTGCAATCCCATATGTCTGCAATGTTGTCGCCTTTTGTGCAAAAATTGCCAATGATTTATGTCAAATTGAGTAGGTGCCAGAATTTTTATTTTTTGACTTCAGAAGAAGCTTTTGTAATTTTTTTGTTCTTTCTTGATTAGATTTTAAAAAAAAAATATGAAATTTGTCATATTATTTGTATAAGGTCTATTAAACTGCTAAACAAGGATCTCATGTCAACTAAGGCTGAAAAATACCACAAATTGTTAATAAACATATTAAAAAAAAAAATAAAATAAAAATAAATACTGATTAAATCCATTTAAATTCGTTTTATTACATTCCATAGTTAAATATCAACACACTAAATCATCTAGGTGCTATTTTATGCCAACATGGGATTAAAACATGTAAGTTAAATTTTTCAATTAATTTTCATGGAAGAATTTAGGGAAGGCTTTGTTTACAATCATTACGAAACTTTGAGAGTTCATTTCGTTTATGACGTTGTAAGGTGTAATGTTGTGTCTTTAATTCGTAAATTCTTTAAAAACGCTGCATATTTATTTTCTTAGTATTAGAATATTTTACATTTTTATTTAATTACATTGAATATATAGTATGTTGTAACTAACTTTTTTAAGCAAATATTTACAACGAATTCTGTAATTGAATGCAAACCGTTTTCAAACTATTACTATTTATTAACGGAATATTTTAAATTAGAAATCAATATTTTTATGACATGTCAGTGCTTTTAGAGGTGAATTCAGTAAGTGTTGTGCCATGTGTCTTTACATGTCCACTAAGTCCAGCATATTGTGCAAAGCGTTTGCCACAAATCCTACACACATATTTCTTTTCGACGGCATGGATTTCTTTGTGTTGCCGTAGGTGTTTTGTGCTTTTGAATGCTTTATTGCAAACTGGACAGATTTTGTCACGCACTATCTGATGAACACATTTTATATGTTCATCTCGTGTAATTTTTTTATAGAATGCCTTATCGCAAATATCACACTTATATTGACGATGTTTGTCGTGGCAATGCATATGTGAATTAAACTGAGATAAGGATCGATAACTTTTGCCACAAATCTCGCAAACAAACGGTTTTTCGCCGGTATGACCACGCATATGTGCTTTCAAATCTGTTGTTGTTGGGAGTGCCTTGTTGCAAATCTCACAATTATAAATGTAATCTTGTACATGTCTCCGTAAATGAACAGTAAAATTAGTTGACGCCTGAAACCCACGTTCGCATAGAGGACATTTGAATGGTGAAGAACCATCATGTGATGCCAAATGTATTTTATGTTGATCTAAACTTGAATCTAATTTTTGGCATATCGTACATATAAAAGGCTGTACGTTGACCTCGAGAAATGCAATGTTGGCATAATATGCACATGTTGGTTTATAAATCAAACTTTCTCGTTGACATAATAATTTCTGCTTCTTTTCATTAGTACATATTTTACGGAGTCGCGCGATTTCTTTTCTCAATTCATGTGGTGTTAAATTTTTTCCAGATTGATTATTAAATTTTTCATGAAGAGCAGCTAATGCTTCTTGGCGCCTATTATTGAACCTAAATGATATATTTGTTTCATCCCAAAGACTTGGAAATCCTTTATACATTTCTGCTAGCATCACGTTTTGTGCAACAGTTAAAATGTTTTTTGGTGGGGTGACATTAATTGTACTCCGTGTGCGTTGCACCTGTAACAAGAGGGCATATGTATATAATTTTAGAAACGGCAACACTATAATAGCCCATACAGAAATAATATTCAGTGTTTTTTATCTCTCCAATGTTCAGGTGTTTATACAGTTGTCATGTGTGGACTAAAAGAAGACTCGGCTTCTCATTTTCTTATCCAGAATTAATGATCTTCCATACAATATGCAGTTAAATTGACTTTATTAAGTTGACGAATTAAGTGAATCAAAATAAAATCGAAACCAAATTAAAAGTTTAACACTAAAATCCATAAAAATTATCATTTTGAAAATATATTATTTATAATGATTTATCGGCAAGAGTGATATTTATATTATATATTTTTTCAAAACTTTTAGTCAGTAAAAAAAATTCCATTATTTTTATTAATTAAAATTATATATTTTTTTCATTTGAATATGAAAGAGGTTTGTGTTATTTAACGCTTAACATTGTGCAAAAAATAACATGAGCTTACAGTCTATAGAATGAGCACTTCAATGTTCAATGATTACGCAACTGTCCTCAAAAATAACAGCAGCTAAAACCCCTTTAGATTTGCACGAATAGTATTATTTCGTTATCTTATCAATCGAATTTGTCTTAAGATTTTCAAACAAGTGACAAACTTCTCAAAAGGGTCAGCCTTCTTAAACCCCATAAAGGGGCATACCATGTGATGGCCTGATTTTTTAGAATTTTTTCTACGACTAGTAAATAGATAAGAGCTGTACGTTTTTTATCATTCACTAACATATATTTCGACAGTATAAATATAAATTTTAAGTTAAAAATATTGTGTACAACATGAGTTACAGTATTGTGAACACCCCCGCCTCGAAAAAAAATGGGCGCGCAGTTCCTCCACGATTCCGGCTGATGGACTTATCCGAAATAAAAAAATTAAAGGCGTTTTAAATTGTAAGCCCAAACCCACGGAATGAACTATTAAAAATTGGACTTTTGGTAAATATCTACCAAAAAACAAAAAAAAAAGTTCCGAATTTTTTGTTTTTTTTATTGTTTTTTGCTATAAAAAAATCGAAATTTTGGGAATTTTCAATTGATAATAGTGCATTCTATGCGTTTAGATGAGCTGAGGGGACCCTCAAAAATTCATCGGTATCTTTAAAACGACTACAAATTTTCAAAAAAATAATAAAATCACCTTACTACCGTATTTTAACAGAGTAATTAATGAAAAAAAAATAAATCGATTTTTTTTTAACTTATCACATGGGACGACGACCCCTTTTAATAGTTTTTTAATTGTATTCATTTTGGGACATGTGGCTACTTCACATATCACGTTTCATTTGTATAAGGTTGCATCGATAGTCAAAAAACAAAAATTTGTCAAAAGTGATTCATTATGTCGAAATCAGCTATTTAATTTTTTTTTATGTTTAAAAAAAAAAAGTTTTCAAAGATTTCAACATGATACAATTATATAACGGTGTGTTGCATCAGAGCGTGCTTCCTCTTACAAAAAAATGTTTAATCCATAAAATCTCAAACAACGCATTTTTATTGGTTGAAATCTTTGAAAAAAAATTGAAAACACTTTTAAAAACGTGTTGTCTTTTGGCTATCGATTCAACCTTATATAATTGAATCATGGAATAGATGTAAATCACATTAAAATGTAAACAAGAAATTCGAGGTAAAAAAAGCTTTTTGGACATAAAATTTTTAATAAGTCACTCAAACATTATTCAATTATGTACAGGTCATGACCATGATTCAATTAAAAAGGGTTTTCCAATAAAAGTGATATTATTAAAAAAAAACACTTTTGTTGCACGTCCTGTGTGGCACGTAACCCCGTGTTGTTGGAACCAGATGTTGTAAAGTTCAACTTCTTCGCTCTCCATTAACAGTAACGCTGTCACCAGCCTGCATTTCGAAAGAAGTACGGACCAAAAACCACACCTAGCTGACAATATAATAATGTAATGGTTGTTCGTAAATAATTTGATTTTCTTCGCACCAGAATCGACAGTTTAGTTTATTTACCACACCACTCACCATCACCATGACGACAATAAACTGGCAAAAGCGCACGAAAAGTTGCAATTGGAAAACGATTATTTTGATAATAAAATTGAATAATTTGTAAACGTTGTCCTTGCGTATATTTTTCCATGAACTTGTAAATATTACTGAATACAATGAAAAAAAATTACAGATAATGGCATATTAAAAATGGCCGTAACGACACTTAGATTATTCCTATTTGAAAACCCGATACAAAGTTGTGTTATTTCGCAGTGTGCTTCATCAATTTTTCATCCATAATGTCAAACAACTTTTTTTTTGTTTTACTCATAAATTTCTTGTTCACATTTTGATGATTATGTGTGATTTCCATTATGAACATATAACACGTGCATTTTTAGGTTAGTATTTTTCGATTATAGTTTAAAAACCTATCTACGGCAAACATCCAAAAATAAAAGCAGTGTTTGGCTCACTTCGAAAACGTACTACTGTAGTTCCAATATTGTATGACTACAGATTTACAGCGTGCCCCTTAAAACTCTCGCATCTAATTTTCCGCAAAAAATAACAAAAGTATAAAGTTAGAATGAACACTTGTTTAATTTATTAGTTAAACTTGCATTGTGCTTGTTGTAATTCAAATCTTTCGCCTTTAATTTCTTTTAAAAAATTTCACACGGTTTTGGAAACTAGTACAGGCGGCACGCACTTCTTTTTCGTTTACATCAGAAAACACAATCTCACAATTTGCGTGCCGCCGAAGGACCAAATCATTTCTTTCGCTTCTCATTTGCTTTTGTCGTTCCGTTAGACCATGAATTCGTTTTTTCTTATAAGCTTTCATTCTCATCAGCTCACGCTGAGGCTCTTAACCAGTTTCCTTCCAGAAATTGCACAATTTTTCCTTATTCGCTCACGTACAATCTTCACCTGACTTGGAGTTCTGACCGTGTAACTACGACCAGATTTTTTTGATACTTTACCACTACCACTTTTTTTAAATCGAGCCACGTACGTTGAACTAATCTGTGGCTAACATCAAGGCTCTGGAGGATCTTAACAATTTCATTTGTTTTTCCTTGAAAATGTAATTTTTTCACCTGCTCTCTTCTTGATTCCATTGCTCACAAAAACTGAATACCAATTGATGAAACTTAAAATTATGTTGCGTATATTCAAAATATAATATACATATGTGACAATAGAAATGTGTAACGGGAAAATATTATTTCGCTTAGCATAATGAAGCTTCAAACAAGTGCGACAGTTAAAGGGGCCCATGCAGTAAACATCGGTATCGGTATGCAACTTCAGACAACATTGCAAAAATATGCGTTGTATAATTTGACGTTATAGAACACTTTTACTACTAAGTTCAATTTTGCAATAAGCTATTTTTATGCGAGCGTATAAATATAAAACAAGATAAGACTAAAACAAAATACTTAGTTCAATTACAATATAAATAATTACTTCTGTTTCATCGAAAATAGAAGCACAAACATTATTCAAATATAATTCAGCCGTCATAATTAAATTTTATGCAAAATTAAATTCAGAATTTAATGCAAATTTAGTATAAATTAGTAATAAGGCTAATCAGTCTGACTTCGTCATCGTTGCAAATGAAAATGTCTAAAAGCATCCACTTTATTTATGATGCGCGATTTTCTCTGCCACTGCGCATCGACTACCGGGTTCAAGCGTTTCAAAACATGATGTAAAGTCAGAGATATTTCGTATGCATGACAGAATATTATGCTTTGTTCATATACATTGCAATTGCATCAACAAGAAAAAACATTAACTTCGGCTGCTCTGGAGCTGTAATACTTTTCGCAGGTGCATAGCTTAAAAGAACCTTATCTTGATTTTGATCTGAACAATTTCTTCGGAGATTGTAGCGCTGCCTTGGAGAATAATTTATGCCAAATTTGTAAATCTAGTTTTCCGTACAAGGATTTCATTTTTAACGATAAATTTGTATGGCAGATATATCCTATGGTGATCCGATATCGGCGATTCCGACAAATGAGCAGCTTCTTGAAGCGAAAAGTATATATATATATACATATATAGAGTCTTAAACGTTTCCTTCTTTTTTCCTTTTCAAATTATTAATGTTATTAATTCGGATGGGTATAATATATCTTTAATCTAACTTTTAAGGGTTTTTAGTGATAAAAGATTAAAGTAAACACAAACTTAGTGTTTTCTATCACCAATTGTTGACAGTATATTTGTAAAAAATATTATTCAGAAACAGACTTACCTTAACTTTTGTTAGTAGTAAATTATCTGGTTTATTGTTTGTGCGTAAAAAGCTCAATGCGTCAAAATAGTATCGGTTAGATGATCCTTTTGCGCCAACACGTTTTAATTCCGTGTAGAAATTTGTTCGGAGGCTATATATTTTACTCCTGACGTCCTTTTGTTCAGCATTTGGATACATTTCTCTGTACTTTCTTAGCAAAATTTCATATTGTTTTCTTTTATATTCCCGATTAAAAAAATGTTTATCCTTCCTTTTCCACAATGCGGGGAGAGAGCGATATAATTCGATTAATTCCAAAGTGAATTTCTTTTCAATTGGATCTTGTGTATCTTCATCGGTATATAACAAGAAGTCTGTCTGTTCTACAAATAAATCATCATCGGAGTCGTCAACTTCATCCAAAGAATCATCATCTACGTTTTCTTCCAGGGTTTGCTATTGATTTTTTAGTGTAGAAAAAGAAAGAAACTTATCAGTGACAAATACATGTTACTAATCTTTAAGTTTAATTATATACAAAATTAATAAAAGGTGCCCCCAAATGTATTGAAGAAACATGAAATACTTAAGGTCTAGGTTCGGGTGTAACCGAACATTTTATACTCTTACAATTTTCAAGGATCAAAGACGCGAAAATATTTAAAGTGTCACTGAAACTTTATATTTATTGAGGTATATGAGGAAAAAGCCAACTAAGACATTTAATTTATTATATTACTTGTACGGGGGATTGACCAAAGTTTATTATTACTTATTACATGTCCACGTAATTTCCTTAAAACATCACAAATATTGACCAACATAAATGGTATAAAAACAACCCAGAAATCAAGTTATGGATGTATTGAGGCTTGGGGCTAGACAGAACTGACACTATTCGCATTAAACCCAGGGTTGCTTGAGCAACCTTAAAATTTTATTAAGATAACTCATAAATTGAATAATAATATTATATATTCGGCATTAAGCCTGCTGAAATAACGAAAATCGTTATATGGGATTTCACCCATTTTTTGCATCAAACTATAGTATACCCAAGATGTGTTAAATTAATTTTGATTATATACTACTTTTTTGTCAGAGTCGATGGAAACTGCAAAGCCGACAAGATAGCAAGAATAGGTACCCATACTCCGCTCACATCGGAGTGGAACGAGTTGGATCTCCGTTGTCATCTTGCGTTCTAACACTGGACCTATGGACCTCGCGGGAGCTTAGCTGGCATCGACGACCAGCCAAATTACATATAGGCAAAACTTTAAACAAATTTTAATATTACTTTGAATATGAAATGAAAAATTGTATATTTTAATCAAACTTGCATTTAAAAATTTAGTTTGCAACAACTTAAAGCAATCGTGAATAATGTTGAGAAAACAAGTAAGGGAGGCCTAAGTTCGGGTGTAACCAAACATTTTATACTCTTACAACTTGCAAGAATCAAAGCCGGGAGTAGAAAAACTTTATATTAAAATATGTCGCGAAACAATTCAACACAAATTAATCGTAAATGGATTAAAAACAAATTTGGTATTTTATTCAGGGGTGTTGTGGAATCTAAGGGAGATTTGCGTAGTTGTCAGTATTGCAAACCAATTCTGATTTTCAATGGTGTCACAGAATCTGATTGGATTTTTCGTCTTTTCGACATATGCAAAACCAATATTCGAATCAGCTGTTTACTATTGTGACAAAACTTGCAAATGATTAAATTTGGAAGCGTTTGATAAATTTGAAATACTGAAAAAAGTCTACTAAAGTTTACAATGAGTTCCGCTATTTTAGCTTCCATTTTATTGGAAGAAAAGAGCAACGAAAAAATTTAAAAGGAAGACATCAAAATGCACCAAGGAAATCGCTGACCAAGCTGACTTTACAGATTCATATCACATTATCGACTGAATAAAGACGCATTTGAGTGTTAAATTACGTTTTGTAAATCCTTTTAAAATATCTAAAAATTTTCCATAAATTCAATAATTATGACATTTTGTGTTTTATTCTTAAGTTTTCCCCCATAGAAATAACGATAAATTAAATCTAAATTATTTTCTTAACTTACATTTCAAATCTGTCAGCGAATATCCTCTTGCTTTGGTTTCCGTGACACCCAAAACCGATACAATTTCTGTTTCGAACGTCAAGCCAATAATATCTGAATTCATGACACCTACTACATTTTTTTCTCGACAACACCCCTGATTAAGTTATATTATAGGTCACAGACTCAATTAGTTTTATTACTATAATTTACTTCTCTTTAGCTAAAATTATATTAAAATCATGTTCAAATGAGATATAGGTATAACTAAAGAGAAGTTAAATTTAATATTATGAGTTGATGTGAAAACCTAGACCAGAGGATCGCAATTCAAATCATTATAAGGGATCTAAGGTTTGGATCAAAGTCTAGACCAATTTCATTCATATTCTCACACAATTTTTAAGAAAATTTGTTCATTTAATTTTATTAAAGGGTTGGGTGTATGCATTAATTCGTACGGTTTTCTAAGAGAGGGCTCTACTAGTATTATTTCGCGTCATGTTCATCTGTGGCTATATTCATTTCAAAGGTACTGTCATTTCGCGTCGTTTTCAGTAGATGTCATTTGCTTTAGCGTGAACAATAATTTGTTTCATTCATTTGAAAATGTTAAAATTTGTACCAGATATAGTGTTTTTGCGGGGAGTTCTTCTTCAATACTTTAACATGAAGAAAAGTGCTACCGAAAGCCATCGTATTTTACTGGACGTTTATGGTGACCATGCTTTAGCCGAACGAACGTGCCAAAAGTGGTTTGCACGGTTAAAAAGTGGCAATTTCGACTTAGACGACGGAGCCAAAAAAATTTCAAGACGAAGAATTGGAGATATTGCTCGATGCAGATTCATGCCAGACGCAAGAAGATCTTGCAAGAGTATTAGAAGCTTGGAAATTGGGTGCCTTATGAATTAAAGCCAAGAGACGTCGAACGTCGATTCTGCATGTCGGAAATGTTGCTTCAACGCCACCAAAAGAAGTAATTTTAGCATCGGATTGTCACTGGCGATGAAAAATGGGTTCATTATGATAACCCAAAGTTCAAGAGATCGTATGTGAAGCCCGGCCAACCATCGACATCCACGGCAAAGCCGAATATCTATGGTGCCATGGTTATGCTATGTATTTGGTGGGACCACAAGGGTGTGCTCTATTATGAGCTATTGAAATCGGATCAGACGATCAATGAGGACCTCTACCGAAAACAATTGATTCGTTTGAAAAAGGCCATCGCGGAAAAACGACCAGACACGAATCAATAATTTTTCATCATGACAACGCTCGGCCACATGTTGCAAGGCCAGTTAAAAACTATTTGGAAAACTGTGGGTGGGAAGTTCTACCTCACCCGCCTTATAGCCCAGACATAGCACCTTCCGATTACCACTTGTTCAGATCAATGCAGAATGCCCTCACCGTAGTACGCTTCACTTCAGAACATGGTATCAGAAATTGGCTCGATTATTTCTTGACCTCCAAGCCGGAGAAGTTCTTTTGGGATGGGATCCACAAACTGCCAGAAAGATGGGCAAACATCGTAGCTTCCGATGGGCAATACTTTGAACATTAAATGTTCCAATATCACACATTTTGTTAGGTGGAAAGTCGGAAATTATTATACAGAATATATTGGGGACAGAGAAAGGGATGGTTAATCATGACATTGCTGAGTATACTTGAGAGTATATTTTCAAGCAATTTTATAAATATATAACTCAAACTTTGAACGACATGTTCGGAATAAGGTTTCTTAGAATAACAAAATCAATATATGGAGTATTTGGGAATTGTGGTAATTTGTAGACTATATTCATACATTTTAGGCTTTAAACTATAGTACATCCAATATTATACTGTAACGGATTTTTGACCTTGTAACTCACTCTTGAGTTCGATCACTGGATTGGTCAATAAAAGTCCCAATTTAATGGCTATACACTTATCTTTATTTCTAATTCCAACAACTAACACTTATTGCTCGTTCATCGAGCTTATCACTTCTTGCTTATGTCTCAATTGCTCTTAACACGACAACACTCTAACTAGAACTGTGTTTGCTGCACAATCCGGCAGCCCTTATACAGTAAATCTTTAACAAAACATTGCTTCTAGAACATTCTGTACGAATTCGCTGTCTAGTTGCTTCTAGCAATTTATCGTCGGTTCGATTTTGTTCTATCACCCGTGCTGGGTTGTATTTTTGGCAATACAACATTTTATTAACTACTCCATGAGTTTCATTAATCTACCTCACATACCATCACCAACATATGTACAATATATGGAGTAAAATCAACTAGATGTTTGAAAATTCTGTAATTAGTTATATGGGGCTAGGGCAAGTTTTCACCCGATTTTACTCATTTTATATTATATATTGGCCGATACATGCGGTATGAAGTAAACCGGAAGTTCGAAAATATTTCGATAAGGTATATAGGGGAAGTATTGACCCGATTTAATCCATTTTGACTTAGCATCAGGCACTGGGGTCGAATTTTGACAATTTTTAGACTGGAGATGTATGGTATACCAATACCTGAAATGCACTATTTGTGCAAAGCTTTGTCCCGATATATTCATTGTTGCTTGATTTGTAGACTGAAAAGTGTAAGAATCATATGAAATTCAAAATTGTGCTATATGGGAATTGGCGTGTTGTAGCCCGATTTTCACACTGTAACACTGGAATGTTTAAATTATCTATGTACCAAATTTGGTTGAAATTGGTAGAGTAGTTTCGGAGATATGTCATTTTACCCAAATGTGGGCGGTACCATGCCAATCGTCCAATTTTACATCGGCTCCTATAAAACCTCTTGTATCACCCTGGGTGTAAAATTAAATGTCTCTGACGCATTTAGTTATTGACTTATCGTACTTTCAGTAGTTTTTAACAAAACCGTTATATGAGGAGTGGGTGGTGTTATCATCCAATTTCATCCATTTTCATACTATCGAAAGAAGAGTCAAAAATATCTATTCTGTGCAAATTTTAGTCATATACCTCGAATAGTTTAGGATATATATTTGTACATATTTTAAACCTATTAGAGGCGGGGCCAAGCTCACTTAAAATTTTTGTTTTCAACCATAAATTCCCCTCCCGAAGTAATTCGTTGCACTGAATAATAGCCTTGTATCTAATTGTGGAGCTTAGTTATGGCACTTTATAGGTTTCGATTAATGGCGTTTTATGGCCATGGCAGTAGTCCGATTTCGCCCATTGTAACCCAACAAAATACTCAAGCCGCTTGCCGTCAGGTCAAGAGAAATACAATGAAACGTTGTTGACAACATACAAGGCAATCAGCCGGCCGAGCACTTACACGAGTTCTGTATGCTTTTGGTTAAGGAATACAGCGAACTGCTCTCCATGCAGTTTCTACTGATATGTTTCGCAGAAACCACCTCTGCAGTAGTCTGTTAGAGCGGAACCGCCTCCTAGGTATATCAAGAAGTCCTTCCTTGACTACGTCGTCGACATTAACAGTACACCGACCAGACTTCGGACGCAACATACTTCAGCCATGCAGACCACCATTCACAGTAAAACCATTAACTCCTTTACCGACCCCTCTAAGTCAATGGCGTACTTGGGTCAAACCAGCAGCCATTGCAGACGAAGAGCTCGGTTGCCACGAGAATCTAGAGTGACCCTGGCGCAACTTCATTTTGCGTATGATATTTAGATGTTTGCAAGGGTAGAAAAACTAAATACATTTTATTTAGCAATTGATATTCATCGATTATCTAAAATCTGAATAACCATCTCTCTCTTTT